CTAAATAATCAAATGCAAGTAGAACATAAGTTCTAAGTTAGTGAGTAACTAAATTCCTTACACTCAAATTGTTATAATTATAAAAATAGACAGTAAAAGTCAAGCCAAGAGTAAACAGGAACACAACTCTTCTGCATTATTTATTGGCATTGGCACTGAACAGTAAGTCTTTGAGACCTTTTCACATCAGCTTCCTAGCCATTGTCAAAAATAAAGGAAAGGGGATGGATGGATGATTGGTGGTACTGAGAGATCCCTGACTTACGTGTGATCTCATCACAAAACGAAAACTCTTGGCGATGTATTCCCTTCTCAGGCTTCACTTTGGTTGCTTGGCAGGGGTAAGCTGGCAACTATACAGCAGTTCTTTCATGAATGCAAGTTTGTGTTCCCACACACTCACTGTTTTCATCACCGCTGTTTGCATTGTAATTTTATCAAAAGTCCCAATAAATATTCAAACTCATAAAGTTCCACCATACAGTACTTAGAAAGACTGTGTGTCCAACATTAAGCACTTCTTCTTACTGTTTGCTCAGTTAGAAGTTTGTTTCTAATGCGTCTCACATTCAACAACACAAGCAAGGTGATATAATTTAAAAGATCTACTACCTCCGTTGCTCTATTATTTGCATCATGATTGTTCTAATCAGCTGCAAAACAAGCTACTATCGGGGCAGCACTCTTTATAATAATTTTATCTGTGGGTCACATGGAAGCAGGTTTCCCAGAATGCATGGATTACTAAACTAACAATGAAATAATCTAGGAAATTGGTAATACTGTTAGTTTTATTAATTGTTACAAAGTTTACTGTGCTAACATGTAAAGAATTTTAAATATTAGGAATGAACATAAACATTAAATAGGATTAAAATAGATAAGGATCGACAACACTTACTACTGAATGCAAGAAAAGAATAAACGTATTTCATCTACTTCCTTCCAAAGCAGACTCAGTGAAGACTATTGTCCATTTCTCTTTGGGGCACTGGAAAACTGGAGATTTAGGATTAGTTCTAAGGGCTAAATTTTCATTAGAAAACTGTAAGATATTTTCCCTTTCATAATTAACTTTCTTTGTTTTCACAATGTCATAAATTTATAAATGACATATTTGAAAAAGGAGTGGTATATATTATTATTGTGGCTTTCTGAAAAGAAAAATATTCAGGGTTGTATTGCACTATATGCCGAAAACAATGAATTTAAATTCATTTTATTTTGTTCCATTGGTATCCAATTTTCTTCATGCTAACTGAAAAATGAATCCCAAGATATGAGACCATTTAGTCAATGCTGATATAGTACAGCTCAGGATATATGTGTGTTTGTGATGTGTGTGTGTTTGTAAACAGTATAAATATATTTTAAAAATCCCTTCTTACCCCTAGGGGTAATAAGGCCTTGAGCCTTTTATCAGACTCTATCTCAAGTTGTGAGAGCAGTTTCCTCTTCACTATATTGACATATGGAATAATTAGGTAGGTCTTCTATCCGTCCATACTTCCCTCATATATTTGATGTGTTCTTTATCCTTAAATCTACCATTGTAGTGGCATTCCCTCAATTCGAGGTTACCTTGTCTCATCCGTGTATGGTTACTTCCAGTAGCACATTTATCATCAGATTGTCCCTGGTTCCCAACATCTGAGGTAGACCTTGTTAATCCTGGTGACAGCTGAAGCGGCATTACCTTCTTGATTTGTGTCACTGTCATATTTGAGGAGGCATGTGGAGTGTTAGATCTTTGCCCAAGGACTCAAGGTAGATACCAACTAGGATTAGAATCTCCCACATTGAAGGTGATGCTCTAACCACTATGATATCCAGCCACTATATATAGTCCATGCTAGATGGAATACAAGAGATCCATGTTCAGAATTTAGTATTTCCAGTTAAAAGCAGCCACTCAAAGTCAGGTAAGTTGTACTGAATGCTGAAAGAAAGGTGCTAGTTCTCAGGGCTCAGACTCACAGCATGCATGCTACAGCAGAAATGTGTTTTGCTAATTGTTTTTGAGAGATGTGTCCTTTTAACCTTCTCTTCATGTCATCTCCAATACACTGCTAAGGCAGCCTAGAGCCATCCTTAACAGTAGTAATTTAAGCCGACATTAGGACAAGCTTGGAGATGAGCTAGTCAGGGACAGTGATCTGTCAGACGACTAAAAATGTTCCCTCTCTATTGGATTGCCGGACATTGTACTTCCTTGGGCATTTTTGGTGGCAATGAGAGTCTTTTTTTCTTTATTATGGAATAACTCTTAGCAATAAATCAGTCAGAAAGCATACTGTTGGCTGTGTGTATAAGTCACATGCATGTATGTGTGCTGAGATGATCATCAATTCAAGAAAGTCCTTGAAATTCACACATTCAAAGGAAGAACAGAAGTGAAAAAGGAAACGAGGCCTTTTGTCTCATCAAAAGGGTTTTCCTCAGAAAACTGATCTCAGATAACATACAAAGATAACATAGATCCAGAGAGTAATAACAGCACTGAGAGGGTTTTGGTTTTGGTTTCTCTGCTTTCCATTTCAAATCAATTATTTCAATTATTCAGACATGGGGGGGCAGTATCTATGAAAATTTACAAAAGATTTACAAAATGAGTATGCAACAATAACAACAATTAAAACTGAGTAATTTTTTAAAAAGGTATTTAGTTCCCAACCCTGATGTGCTGCACATTCAGGAAAAAAATGGGTGGTTGGGTTCCGTGCCAGCAGGTGATGTTGGGTGGAATAGGAAAGGACAACATGGAATCTACCCTGCATTACCCAGGTGAAACAATTCCTACTGATTTATCTGAGGATACCAATGCTGCCCAGCCTTGATGCTGAGGCACTTAAAATTAGGCTGTAGGATCAATACAACTTATGACAATATACATTCCTTCTGACTCAAGGATGGGAAGAATTAGCAGGGCTATAAGGAAGAGTTATCCAACTCCTACCAATCTGTTTAGCAAACATTCTGTCCCTTTCAACTTCATTTAAAAAGGTCTGATAAATATAGAAATGCTATTATTCTAGTCCTTTTATACAGATAACAGATAATCAGAGTTGGAAGGAACCTTGTAGGTCATCTAGTCCAACGCTCTGCCCAAGAAGGAGACCCTACACCATTTCTAACAGATGGGAGTCCAATCTCTTCTTGAAAGTCTCAAGTGATGGCACTCCCACAACTTCTGAGGGCAAACTGTTCCATTAGTTGATAGTTCTCACTGTCAGAAAGTTTCTCCTTATTTTCAGGTTAAATCTCTCCTTGTTCAGTTTCCATCCATATTCCTCTCTGGCCTTCGGGTGCTTTAGAAAATAGCTTGACCCCTTCCTCTCTGTGGCAGCTCCTCAAATATTGGAAAACTGCTATCATGTCTCCCTGGCCCTCCTCTTCACTAGACTAACCATGCCTAGTTCCTGTAACCGTTCTCCATATGTTTTAGTCTCCAGTCCCCTAATCATCCTGGTTGCTCTTCTCTGTACTTTTTCTAGAGTCTCAACATCTTTTTCATAGTGTTGTGACCAAAACTGGATGCAGTACTCTAGGTGTGGTCTTACTAAGGCTTTATAGAGTGGTATTTGTACCTCCCTTGATCTTGATTGTACCCCTCTGTTAATGCAACTTAGGATTGCATTAGCTTTTTTTGGCTGCTGCTGCACAATGCTGGCTCATATTTAGCTGGTTGTCCACTAAGACTCCAAGATCCTTATGTAGTCCTATGTAATGCGAAGCCAAACAACAGGATCACAGCTCACCAGCTCAAATCCCCCAGCAACTAAGACTAACCTGAGCACAGCCAACCCAACTAATCAGAACACAGCCAAGCCCCCACCCAATCAAGTCACACCCCCACTAGCAGTTAAAAGGAAGAAGCAGCTGCAAGCTCACATTACTCTGAGAAGCACAGAGGCGAAGACACAAGCCTGAAGATGATGAATAAGACTTCATCGAAACGTTGCCTAATATATGGTATTCGGCTTTGTTCGGGTATTTTCCCACGTCTGGGAATACCTGGACGTGGGAAAATACCCGAACAAAGCTGAATACCATACATGTAAGTACCCGCGAAAACTTAAGAAAATACACACACACACACACACACACAGAGTGTGTATATATACGCAAACAGATACACACACACACAATATAGTCCCCCACAATATAGTCCCCTAGCTATATAAACACATTAGCTAACAATACAATGGAGATCTCAACATTAGGTAATTAATTCACTGATACCTAAATGATAATTAATCATGATAGAATTTTTACTTTTTTCTCTTTTTAGGTTAATTAATGTTTTTAAATAGTAGAATGTTAATAATTTAACTATATAAACATTACTGAATTGAATTGAAATAAAAGTATATATCTTGATTTTTTACATTATAACAATAAAAATGACCATATATAGATCTTTATATGAAAAAGCAATATTTTCCACATAGAGTCCACCATCAGTTTGGAATGCCACATAACTGACATATAAAGCATTCTTTTTCAATCTGGTCTGCCCCATGCATGGTGGGGAATTGCAGTTCCATGCTCCTAATGCTAAAATCAATAGTGATTAAGCTTAAGAACAACTGGCTTTTTTTCTAGACGAACCTTTAGCATGCTCATAGAAATGGAAGAGTCAATCGGGACACAGAACTCTAGCCACATACCAAAGCACTAGACTGACACTAGTGATCTATAAGAAACATGATATCTGACAAGGAAGCACAAAATTAAGATTTGAAACAAATGCTGATAAGGGAGGCAGAAGACTTGGTAGTAAATTTAATAAGAGTATGGCTCTAATCCAACATTCCACTACACTGGCTCATGTGTGTCTATGTGTATGTACATTTCCCCTGAACAGTAAAGTCCAAATTCTACTCCATACCATTACATAATTTAATTATATAAATTAAAAATGTGTGCCTACTGTGTTTAGTGGTCAAAAATAAATCACTCACCTAAGATAATTTTGGAGGATTTGAAAAGTTTGATAATTTTGAAGCTCTCATTCTGAAGAGCTTTATTGAAGCATTGTGTCTAGCAACTTGTAGATTCTTTCCTTCACCCAAAAACTCACACTCACTTCCAGTTAACTGAACATAGAAAACCATTGAGTAGTGGTATCTACAGGAGAAAAATATGGGGAAAGTGTCTTAAACTTTAAATCCACATACTAAGCAATTTGTATATAAATTATAACTGAAATTTATCACGAAGAGCTAAGATCTGGTTATAATTTTTTGATTGGATACGTTAATTTAAAACTGTATATTTTTTTTCCAAACTACATTTCGGTGTATAGCGAATTTTTTTTTTGCAGCTGTAGTTTTATCATTCTGTTCTTCTAAAACATTCAGGACAGACAAATTTTTAATGTTAGACCCAAAATACTTACCCAGAAAATTTCAAGATCAATCTGATCCAAACTTTTCTGCAGGATCCAATCTGAGTTGGTCCCTTAGATCCACGGTTTATTCTTCTAAGATTTCAGACTCATGCTGGAGCCCATCGTCAAGGGAACATCTCTCTCTCCCCAGAATACAGTATGTGTACCACATGTTGTATTTTTATGGTGCCTGGTTGTGTGTGACTGTAGTTGTTAATTAGTGTGTTCATTTTTCCAGTATATGTTTCTAATCAATCCAAGCAGTGGTTTTATGAGTAACTACCAAGAAAACTATGGTAATATATAAGTGAACTGTGACTCTCTTGAAGCCATTACTCACAGTATCTTAATGTGACATTTATGAAGCACTGAAGTGGCAATAATGATCAGACACTTTTTTCTGTGGCAAACCTACTAGTATAATTGAAAATTTCATCAAAGGGGGTTTGCCTGGGTAAAATTCAAAGGTCCCAATGCATTTAGCAGAAGATTTATAAATATTTTAATAAGATTTCAGATAAATTCTCCAAGTAGGCAACTATTTTGGGAGACCACTAATAGACCATTTAAGAATTAAAAATATTAAACTGGAACTCAGTTTCTAAGCTATGAAACAATGAAGAATGTTTACAACTAGTTCTTAGCATCTGAAAGTGGATTTATAATATGCCTTCAAGTTGGTGTGGTTAGGCACAATTGTAATTAAATAAATTGTTATGGTCTGTTGGCAATTACAAAACTAATTTTGGTTTGCCACAGAGGCAAACAAAATGTGTGTTTATTATAATTTTAATGGAATATGAAGTCATATGAAACAAACATGTGAATCAATCCTATACTTTATAGCCAAATATTACTTGCATACTAAACAAGCCTTAAGAATTTTCCATGCAAGGCCACTAAATATAAAAAGTAAAGTATTATTATATGAAATAATCTATTGCATTTCTCATATTTTTTCAGATCCCTCTAGGGCATCAACATTCCTTGAAGAATAGATGTTTTTACAAACCTTCTAACAAAATGGGTAAAATTTCAAAGCGGTATGAACTGCTTGTATTTAATTCCATTTTCTTTGTATATTATAATTTGCAATATAAAGCTAGGTCTATGCACTGTTTGCCTCCTTTAGCTTTTTTTTTTGAATTGCCTATTAAGTTCCTGGATAAATATATTTGTACCATGTTATTTCTGAGGTATTCAAAGGTTCTCCATTTTTACTACAAAACATTTATTGACAAAACAGAACATAAAACATATGTCCTGAAAATCTTGTTTTTTAAAAAAATATTATAACATTTTTAATCAATCTGATGACAGGAGTTCTGTAAGTAAATTACATTAGAGACAGTCCTCACTTAGTGACCATAATTGGGATTGGCAACTCAGTTATTAAACGATGTGGTGTCTGAAACCACAACTTGCTTATAATCTGACTTCAGCTTTCCTTTACTTTATAGACCTGCAAAGGTTGTAAATACGAGGATTGGTTGTAAAGCTAGTTTTTCCTCATCACTGTAACTGTGAAGAATTGCTAAATGAAGCAGTTGCTAAACTGCTTTAAAATAGCAAGAGAACTTTAAAAAGTATCCATATTAATTTACCTATATGACAGCAGCTTTTACACCATGGATTACCTGGAATCTAAAAGAACTTGGAATCCATGCAAAACATCTCCACTTTTGACCATTGCAGCATCCCATGGACACCTGATCAAAATTCAGACACTTGGCAAATGACTCACATTTATGACAGTTGCAATGTCCCGGGTTCATGTGATCAGCTTTTGTGGACTTCTGACAAGTCAAGGGGGAAGCCAGATTCACATAACAACCATGATGCTAAATTAACAACTGTAGTGATTCACTTAACAATTGTGGCAAGAAAAGTCATAGAATGATGCAAAGCTCACTTAACTGCCTTGTTTAAAAACAGAAATTTGGGGCCCAGTTGTGGCCTTAAATCAAAGACTATGTATATTTTAAATGAAATTAAATCCTCTTCCATAAATTAATTAAAGTTATGTAAAATGTCTGAGCAGGCTCGCAAAGTTGCTCTAGAATTCATGAACATTTTCTCAGAGTCTGAAATAATATGTACTGGCATCATGTCATACTATATTAATTTTTGGACTTACTGGTTAGGATATATTTAAGAAGCACACAATCCATATAATGCAGAGATATACCTTTCATAAGGTGGTAGAAAATTACAAGGAAAAATGGTGTATTCTCATACCTGAGATAGATAACCATACACATTTACCCTTTCAAGTAAATTCATGCGTTTGAATGCATTATGTAGTTGTATTACAAATTATGCAAATGTACTTTGAATTCAGATTTACTATGTGTAATGCTTTTTTTAAAATGCATCTTATAAAGGTAGTCCTTGAGTTTGATAGCAGTTGGGATCAAAAGTAAAAGTTTTAAATTTAAAAGTTTCTTTTGCAAACTAAAAAGGCAAAATCTATGTCATAATTATTCAACTCTATTTCAGCACACAAAACTTTTCCATGAACTAGATTCATGCCAGTGGTTAGAAAGACAATTTTCCAAATATTTCAAAATTTTTGCAATAGAAGAATATAAAAATATTGAATATTTTACTACAGTATCATCTTCATACCCTAAAAATAACATTGTATTTGCCACTATACTGGCTATCTAAGGAAAGAGAACAAAGTATTTCAACCCTTTAATTTAGCATTATATTTATCCCTATTGACCTTATATACATCAGGCTCATTTGGACAACTTATTAAGATGAATGTCTTTTATTACATAATGTTTAAAAATTAGAATGAACAAGGGCAAGCATAGGAAGCCCAAGTTTTGCATGAGAAAAAATTAAACTGTAGAGTCAAAAGGTTTAACAGAGGGGTTTTTTTATTACACATAATACTCAATGATCTAGATATGAAAAGTACTATAACACTGAAAGACAAAATGTCCTAGAAAAAAGGGTTATTGTACTGAAATCATGTTCTAGTTTTGTTGTTGTTGTTAACTTTATTTATTTACACATGTAACTGCAACCATATCAACATTCTATGCCCACTGAGAGTACTCAATATTTATGAGCTATTTCAAGATCTCCGCCACTGATGGATTTTTTAATCATGTTTTATACTTCTGAAATCTTGAGGCCAGATTCTCTGGCTTCACTGCTCTCTATTGCTTAGAAATTATAGTAGGATACTTTAATTTACATTAATATATGCAATATAATCTATTAATAATATTACTAATGTTTATAGGACATTATGTAAGTCAAAGAAACAAAAAAAATGAAATAAAAAAAATCCTAGGCAATTCTTCATCTCAGGTTTAAAATCTGCCAGTAGCAAAGACAAGAAAACAGAAGGAGAAAAAAGAAAATCAAGGCAAGTGGGGATAAGTAAATATAAATGATATTCTACATTCATAAATGTATTTTCAATTGTGGAATAAAGACCAAAATATTAATGCAATTTTTCACAAAGAAGATTCTCTTTTTTTAGGAAGACAGAACATAAATAGCATAAATTCTGGGCTAATCCTTAACTTTTCTTATAAAAGTACAACTCTTACAATCAGTCATTATTCTTTACTTATCTTCATATTTACTTCCCCAACATACTACCCCCTCTGATGTTATGAGAACAAGCTCCCAGAATTCTGCCTGGGAATTCTTATGTATTTGCCCCAACTGCAAGATTGCAAGGGCAATACAAAATAACAATCTTAAAAACAAAGCCTCACATTATATCACCCACCCCACATTTAAGCAAGCTTTCCCTTTGTATATACAAGATAGAAAACAACATAAACAACTAGGTTTCAGCTTTGAAGGTTGAGTGAAAAAGAAAGGCTTTGAAATTATTCTTGAAATCCACGAGTGAGGGAACCAAATAATTCTGTAGTATGAATCATAATCAAGAAAGCTTAGATTCTAATCTTCATACTTGTTACCTATTAATGGGCCAAAACTCTCAGTAAATTCTCTTTAGATAAACTGATAGGGTGGGCAGATTTATTCTGAACAAGGCAATCAAACTTGCCATCACTCTCTCTTAGCAACCACAACTGGGACCGGTAACACTGTTGCTAATGGTTGTTAAATGAGATTACATGACTGCAACACTTACAACCTTTCTAGGTGTTAAGTGAATCACCTAGCCATTAATTGTGTGACCACAATTTGCCATTTTATGGCTGGCTTCTACATTGACTCTCCTTGTCAGAAGCTAGCTATGAAGTGTACAAATGGTGATCACATGACTGCAGAATGCTATAAATGTCATAAGTGGGTAGACCAGTTGTAATTTTCTCAGTCCCTCCGTAACTTCAAATGATCATTAAACAGGGCAATCCTTAAGTGAGGGCTATCTGTACAGGGCTTTATAGGCAGTGGTGGGATTCAAAACAAATTTACTACTGGTTCTGTGGGTGTGGCTTGGTGGGCGTGGCAGGGGAAGGATACTATAAAATCTCCAGTCAGAGGTGGTATTTGCCAGTTCTCCGAACTACTCAACATTTCCGCTACCGGTTCTCCAGAACTGGTCAGAACCTGCTGAATACCACCTCTGTTTATAGGTAATAACAAGTACTACTGAATTGAGCCTGGAAGTCTATTGAAAGCCAGTATATCAACCATAAAAAAGCTGTTATTCTATAGCAATGGATCCTACCGGATAACAGCTGGGCTGCTGCATTTTGCTCTGAGTTATCCTCAGTCCTATAGATTGAGTCCAACTGTATTACATAAGAACATGAGAATTGTTGCCAGGGGCTTCGCTGACCAACCATTATCTCATTAAAAGGCACTGATCTCAATTTTCCTGAACCTGATATCTTCCAAATGTGCTGAACTTAAAATCCAAAAATTCACAAACCAGTCTAGCCAATGATGAATGCTTTCATTTAACTATAAAGGATATCAGGCTGGGGAAATCTTCTCTGAATCCAAAGTTATTTTATGTTTCACCTAAAATCCAGTTTGGGTTATGATTCCAGCTATCAAAACCACAACCCTCTTTCTCCTTTATGCTAATGGAAGTATTTCCACAGATTTGGATGCTTTCTAATTTAGCCTTCCTACCCTCTGAGTGAAGCTCAACAGAATCTACTATTTTACAGACTAGAGTTAAAATCATTGCAAGGATTTGGAGAAAATGACCACTGTGTATTGTTCAGCCACAGAGTTTCAATGAAATATGTTGAGAAATGAGAGAGCATGGAAGGAGGAGAGAAAGAAAAGAAAGAATTGTATAGGTATGGATCTAAACAGCATTTTGCAGGAAAGGTCATAGGTTAAAAATACCTCTGTGGTAAATAGGCCATATGATGTGTTCTTTAACTTTTCTGACATCTAGCATAAACTCAACATGCCTTTAAAAACAAAAGGCTGGACTTCCGGTTTGCTGGGCTTCGGCGGCAGCAGGAATCCGCGATCATGCACAGTTTCTGCTTGCGCTCAACGCTGGAGTGCCCCGAGCCAGCTGGCTTCGGGGCTAAAGTCACCCCATAGAGGTGGCTGAAGACAGGGGAGACCCGGCAGGGTTTTGAAGGGAGTCCGCACCTCCCCTCCTCAGCTGGCTTAACTCCCTTTTCCGAAGGCGGTAGAGCGGCGGTCAGAATTGGCCGCCTCAAAGAAGCACTCATCCGGAAAAGAATGTGCAGGAGGAAGCTAAGAAGTGAAAGTTTTGGCTGACCGAGATAAGAAGCAACATTCAAGATATCCTGGAATTTAAACCCTAAAAAAGATTCATCGTTCCCAAGGAAGATCCGGAAGCAGCAAATGAAAGTGAAAAGGGAAAGTTTGTTTTTTCTCACTCTCCTTCCTTATGGTGACAGCAGATGAATGAGAAATTGGAAAAATCTGATTTGGCATCAGCAGGTAATTAAACTGAAAATCAAAGCCAAGGGGATAATAAAGATTTCTGACCATTGAAAAAACTTTTTTTTCGCTGCAAGTGGGAAGGGAGAGGAAAAGAATAAAGAGTAAGATTTGGCTGGAGGAGATTGCTTGGAATTTAAAAGAATCGAAAGTTAAATTGTAACAAGACTTCTAAAAGATACATTTTAATTGGAACTTTGTAACTGAATTGTAACCCCAGGAAGAGAAAGTGAAAAAAGAGAAAAGTGTTAAATGAAACAGCTTGTGTGTATTTCGACTGCTTGGTGACTTTGGGACTTTTGGAAATTATATTTTAATGATTAAAAATACTTGGGTGGTTGTTTAAAAATCTTTTTTATAATGGCATCACTTGTGGATGAACTGAAAATTGAATTTAAAAAATATAAAGAAGAGGAACAAGAAGGGAAGGGCTCTTTTGGCTCTGTTTTCAACTTTTTAGAAATGGCGATTTCTACCTATGAGAAACTACAAGAACAAGAAGATTGGGACAAAGAAGAAGCCATCTTTAATGAACAAGTAACTTCATTTGGGGAAGAAAGGGGAAAGAGGGGAAAGAGAATGGAGAATTTAAGACCTAAAAAAAACAACCAAAAAAGGGGAAAAATAAGTTGAAAAGTGGATATAATGTCAGAAAGCAACAGAAAAGAGGAATACAGAAGAGGGAAATGGAGATGGAGAGACAAGGGGGTAAAAAGGGCTTGAAGAAGCAAGGGAGGAAGGAAGGGAAGAGAAGCTACAAGGGTTTGAAACAAGATGTAAAGAAACAGGATTTATTTAGAGATAATGGGAAAAAATATAACTGAAAAAGAGATTCTGCAAAGGTACATATAGACTGTGTTGTTGTATTTGTATTAGAAATAATGTTAGAAAATTGGAACAACGTATGATTATAAAATGGGATAAAATATTCAATGTAATTTAGTGAAACTTTTTCTTTTTTGAACAAAATAAATGAAATGAAATATGAGAGAATTGAATTAAAAAGGAATGGGAACATTTTAATTATATAATGTTTTAAAATAGAAGTGAAATGGGGGGGAAGTAACTACGCAAAATTTATAAGGGTTCCCATAGAAGCATGATACTTATTTGAAAAGGAATGTGTAAAATGTTTAAGATTTAAATGAATATTAATTTTAACGATAGAGTTTAACTGGTATGGATTGTTGTTTTAATTATATTATATATTTATAATTTTTCTTTTTTAAAAACATAGTGTGTAGCTTTAGAATGTACTAAGCAGAATCCGAATGAAAGTTATGTATTATATTAAGTGTTAAATTTAGGGGAAAGATATAAAGGTGTCATACTCCAATCAGTGATTACAGGAGAAATTTTGTGTTAATGAGAAAAGATAATAGACAGTTGAAACAGGACAGACAAAGGATATAAGTATAATGATTTAAATTGAGATGAAATAAATAAAATAGAATTAAGAGAGTGAAAAGAGGGGAGAAGCTATATAGAAAATCTAGAATGGTAATAAGATATGGAATGGTATATAAAAGTGAGCATGAATTTGAATTTATGTCTGTATGAAGAGATGTAACCCGGGATCAAGCTGCTTTCAAAAAAGATGTTTTATGTTTTTATGTTTTGTGTTTGGTCTGTATGTTTGTTTTTTTTAAATTAATAAATTTTTTGGGGGGAAAAAACAAAAAACAAAAGGCTGTTACAAAATGTTAAAATAGTCAATGAGTTAAATTTTTATCCCTTTTTAAAAACAACATGGAACAAAATAATGTAGTTTAAAAAGAGTGTAAAGAATAGTCTGCTGAAAAATGCCTTAGCTTCTGTAGTAGAAGCTAAAAACAAATAATAAATTCATACTGCCCTCTGGTGGCCAATAAGAATTATTTTAAGTTATACTATTTTCTAAATCTAATCAAGAGTGGCAATTAATCTTGTAAACTCACTTCTTGCATGGATAAATGACCATTGTTTTCAAGGTTTTTTTTTTTTCCACAGATTGACTTTCATATTATTCTAGGCAAATAGAAACCATGAGCACAAGCTTTGTGACAGCACTTTCATGAGCTTCCCATATCATCTCCTCAAGCTATACTGAGTCTCTAGTTCTTTGGGTGTAAGCAGATATTCACTGATCTTGAACTTGAAATGTGCAATTTTTGTAAAACATATATGGGTAGATAATCTTGAAGTTATGACTCCAGGTAAGAGCACAAGGGTTTTTAATATACTGATCACATGAAGGCCAGACCATTCCCCACCCGTGTCCCACTCCCAAATTTATTTAAAAATATGCTGGTTCTATACATAGATAATTTAGTAAATTAAGTTCTTAAACTGAGTCCTATGTGATCATGATAATGTAGCACAGGTATTCTGTGTTACTGTCATGATATGCAGCCTCAATTTTTGTCTACAAATTAATAATTTACAGAAAAAAGCATGCAAAGGATTAAAGGCCTCGGGTTCTTAAACCTTCAGTACAATTCAAACTGTTTTTCTTATTTATTTGTTATAAAAATTGAGGAAAATTATGAATATTATATTTATATTAAAGTCCTGGCTTTTCAATTTCTTTGTCCCCAACTTCTTTTTGAAATGCAACTAGCCTACCACTCAGAAATCAATTGAAGCCTTAGTTTTGTTTTGTCTTTGTTTTTATAAGAGCTGTACAGCCAGCTCTGTTTTAGATTACTAAATTACAAACCATACCGACGATACAGAAACTCCTAACTGGCTCAAAGTGCTGAGAAATCACATGTCATCTGATAGCAGAAAAGGAAACTGAAATATGTTCTAAACATTCTCTATTGTCACATTTGCCTCTACAATTCACTTTGGTAATTTTTTTTAGTGTAGAGATTAGTCAGGAAGGTTATCTATTCATATATACAGTGACTACATAGCTCATCTATTTCCACTAATGTCTTGAATGGAAGGATTTGTAAAATGTGAAATGAAGAGATTTTAAAAAAAATAAATAAATAAACCAAGTGCTTTCAAGAAACAACATTTGCAATCCAAAGAATGTGACAATATATCTATTGAGATGGAAAAATTGTTTCATTTTGTGCTAATTTTCCACATGTATTCTCTCACTGTAAAGAAAAAATCAGAAATTCAGAAACTAAAGCACACCTGAAGTAGGTATCAAATAATGAAATTCAGCATACAAAAATTAAAAAGTTAAATCTGCTGGCATTTTAAAATGCTATTGGAGCTACAATAATTAAAAATATAATTAAAATGCACAAACCTCCAATTGTATATACCACAAAAATTATAATTTGTTCTGTAGCTGGGGCTGGCTTTTGATCTAATGGCATAGAGATGGCAGGCTCCCTCTTTTCATTGCAAGACCATTCAATTTCACTGTTGGAATAATACTGCCTATAAAAACAGAAATGTATATCTATATTTAACAGGCACAACAGAAACACATGGTCAATATTGTTTCCATTTCCTATCTTTGAATCATAAAATATCATATCCAAAAAGTACTGATTTAAAACCTTCAGATCTAAATTTACAAAATCGTAAAGTGTTAAACCTGGAGATAATCTCATTCACTCCTGAGGCTACTCCAGACAATGTTAAGTATGTTAAAAATTAAAGTTTATATTGTCAAACTGAACATAATGAACAGTGCCTAAGATAATATGAGTGTTTATATTAAGATGCAGGCTATTTATTATATGTATAAACATTGTATGGCAAAAGATGCTAAAACAATAAAATTAAAACTTCAGAGGCTTATTCACATGGCATAGTATATAAAATATTAATCATCAATTACTTTGAGAAGGAATAAGTAGGGACTATTTGGGGGTGATGGCTGATGGAGACACGAACATTCTTACAGAAAATGTTTGTGCATCTGTTTCATTGTGTTTCACAAAATCACCCTCACAGTGAGGATGTCAATCATAAAATAAAAAAGGTAACCTTCTCGGATTAAAAAAAACACCAAAGTTCGTGAAGATAGAGATAAGATCCAAACATACAGCAACTCTTTTGAATACACAATTTTCTATTTTAACATACATTTCAGATGCTGAAATATTCACAAGCTGAATATTAGAAAAATCTGACATCTCAGAACCACAATGTCTAATCTCACGTTTGTTCTCACAAATCACAGCTACTTATTTTACAGAAGTAAAGCTGGTGGTCCTCAAGCACACTATTAGAAGGGGGGGAGGAAACAAAATGCTCATTACATATAATTTTGCTTTTTATTCCTCCTCCTTTTTAACTGTGTGTTAAATTGAGGACCACAAACTTTACTTCTGTAAAATAAATAGTAGTGATTTGTGACATATATATCACAACATATATTTAGATATAATAAAATCCAGAAAATACACAGACACTTATTACACCTCAGTCTAAATATAATGTGAGGCAAAATGAATCAAAACTATTGCCTGATGGAGCAAAATGGTTTGGTTGAGATCAGCATATGTGGGACTGACTGGGGTAGATTTTAAGGGTGGCACTGAAATATAATTTTATCGTATTTTATTTATCCATATATTATTGTATTTTATTACAATCTCATTTTAAATTGTATATTTATTCCAATTCAATTTTAAATTGTTCTTATCAGATTTTAGTAATAATTTGTATTTCAAACTCTGCACTTTGATATAGCCCATGGGCTAATCAATAAAGCAAACTAACTAAATTGCCTGATGATATACACACAAACTATTAAAAATTTAAGCAACAAGGCTGAATGAAAAGCAACGATTCCACTTCTATATCTTTAATTTAAAAAGGAGTATTTAGTTAAATGAAACAGAAAAGTAGCTTGGATCAAGATCTTTTGTTATTTGTATTTACTTCTCCACACATACAGACCACCATTCATTATATCTTTCTGCCAATGCCAGACAAGCTTCTTAAAACCATCATGAAAGAGCTACGTGCTTTGTGTCTTCAATTAAGATACTGAAATTATTGCTACTTCTTCATTTGAGTCAAACAGATGCCCTTGAAGGTATTCTTTCAATTTTGGGGAAAGGTGGAAGTTGCATATTTCCAGTTCTGCACTAAATTGGGATGGGTATAATGGCAAGATCCAACTTCATAATAGCCTATCGGATGGCTTGAGGTGTAAGATCCAGCATTGTTATATTATAACAAAAGCTCCTTCTGTTTCAAAAGTTATAATATTCAATATTCTGAGTTGATAAACATACCAGGTTCAAAGAAATCCGTACTTCATTTCAGGATCATAATGAGCTACTGTGTTGTCATCATGATGTCAGAGATTCTTCACTTTCATTCTCCTAAGGTGGCAACAATTGCTGACAAATTTCAGTTCCTGAAGGTTTCATCTCTGCAGTCAACATGCTAAGAATCTTTTGGAGTTGGGAACTATATTACTTAATATAATTATCTATATGTTTGACTTTAGTGGGTATGAAACCAGTACACTAATAATATGCTGTTTTAACTCTTATTTTCTGTACAATGTCAATGTCAGAGTTTGTCAAGTTTTGAGGGAATAATGATTATGTAGGTATATTTTTGTTCCTTATCTGTGACATTCCTTATCTGTGATGTTATACATTTCAAAATAAGTTAAATATGCTCTAATTTACTAAATCAAACGGGACATCTCTTAAGTTAAATGGGACCCTGTCTGTATGTAGTTGTACTGCATTTTTAGAACCTCCAGAAAGTGAAGGTTTTTATTACCTCAGATGAATGTTGGGTAATCAATATAACTTTCATTATTATTACCAAACTAGTCCTTGATATTTTTCCTGGACATTCCCTGATTTGAACCTCTTTTCAAAACCACCGCGAGGCTCCCAAAGTGGAGGTCTCACCTTGCGCTCCTTGCCCTGCCGGACAAGCGGCTCCAGGGGGGTCGATGAGAGCCTCCCTGCCGTCCCATCTGGAAGCCTTTTAAAAAAAAACCGGACAGCCACTTGTCTGGAATGGCATAGGGTTGGACTAGAAGACCTCCGAGGTCCCTTCCAACTGTTATTCTCTGCGAAGCCAAAGAGGCGGGGCTCGACCTGCGCATCTCAATCCCTCTCCACCGGCCGCCTTCGCCGCAACAGCCACGGGGGGAGGTGGAGGAGGCTCTTTTTTTGCCCCGCGGGAGCATTTCCAGCAACCGTCCTCGCGTTGCCTCGGTCCCCGGGCAGGCCGTACGGCACAAGGTTACCTGGTGCCCGGGACACTTTGGAGACGTCGTCAAAATCGGCAAAGACTAGCAAGAAGTGACCCCGCCGTGGAGATTGGCTCCAACCAACCGCTTCGCCTCCCTCCCACTCTTGCCACACGTCGCGGAAAAGCGCCGCCACCATCGCGGCCCGCTATCCGACTTCGGGCCCGGGCCCGGGCCTAGCCCATCCGGCCTGGGTTGAAGCGGGGCTCCTACCGCCGCTACTCCCCCCAGCCCCCTACAACTTCTGACCGTGCAAAGGGCCGCCTCCTCATCAACTTTCCCAGCGCCTCCCAGTCCCAAACCGCAAGCGGTGTTTCGCGCCCCCCTGTGGCAGCTGAAGGCACCGCCGTCCTCTGGATTCAATCCCAGGATGGAGAAAAGATGCTTCTCTTAACTGGCAGTACACCTTGCTGGCATGTAATATTGTCTTATCTTTTTTTTTTTATTCTGCTTGTGCTCTACTTTTTAACTGCTGTGATAGCGGACATCGGCAAACCTGCACATGAGGCACCTTATCTGTCAATTATTAGAATGGGTGATATAAACCTGAAAGAGTACATGTCATGTTTTTCTGCTTTTATTGGTGCAAAACCATAAACAAGTGCACTTCAGTACTGGATTTTCTATCATCCTTCCCCCAGCCACCCACCCTGCCCCCAATGCCAGGTAACTATCTGATCTTTTCTTGCATTTTGGGGCATCATGGATTATCTCTCTAGCTAATTACTTCACACTGCAATATTTTATCAAACAGATACAGCTATTTCTCAGAATAGAAAGTAGAAATCGATTTTAATTTCCTCCTTTATTTTGACACTGCTTATATTTGGCCTTTTCTATCCTAAGTCTGACTTTTCATTTTGGTCAGGTAGCTCTTGCTTATCACTCCTGAGTTACTATAATAACATACATGCCATTTGATTAAGTAACTAGCTTTCCTCCACTTCTTTGCACCCACCATCCATCCAATCTTGCCCCTTGTAAGTATCCTCCATTCCCTGCCATTAGGTTAGATCTGATTATAGGAGTATATAGAAATTTGGACTTATCATGTAAACACAGCCCTTAGTAACTGTTAGACTGTTGTTGCAAGAGTTTAAGCTAGAGAGAAGGGAACATGGACACTTTCTTTTCCTTTGCTACCACCCTCTGTTATTTTAAAAAAAAATAATTTTATTAAATACATTGTTTAAATACATTGAACATGGTAAAATCATTTTTGACATCTTTTTGCCTTACATCTTATGAGATACACACACACACACACACACACACACACACACACACACATTTATACGTATTGAATCTTTATACATCTAGTTTTCCTCTATTTATGTTATTGACTGCTGCAATTTTTCCACAGCTGAACTTCCCATTCAGGGTTTATTACTACAAGGTGCATGTTTTCAGGCCAAGAAACTAGTAAGCAATTTATCAGCCTTTCCCTACCTGACACTTTTCTGCTATCACATGGACCACAGTGGGCAGAGATGTTGGCATCCTCTTACCATCATATTTTTCACTTCACAAATGACTTCTTTATGATTTAGTCGTTGTCATGGAACACTTGTCTGCCTCCATGATCAACTGTGAATCTGTGGAGCTTTCAGTTGCTTTTATACATAGATCAGAGGCTTACTGTTTTGCAATGGTGTAACGAGCAGTCTGAATATTCTGCAGGAAGATTTACTTAGTCAATATCTAAGACTCATTGATTCTGGGCAGTTTGCAGTGTTTCAAAGCAGTGAAAAACAAACATTAAACATCAAAGTATGACCAAACTTAGGAAAAACCAAACTACTACATTCACCTGGAAATTAGCAAGATTACACATTACCCTTTCCAACCCTGTGGGAGCAGCCAGGTCTTAAATGTCTTCCTAAAAGCCAGCAAGATTATAGAGTCATTAGGATTTGGGGGGTGGGGTTTAATACCATTCCAAAAGGCAGCAGCAACAATGAAAGCATACTTGGTGTGTCCCCTAAGATGGCACTCTTTATTGATGTAATCCCAAGCATGCTGATCCTGATATATTTCTTTTAAAGCAGGCAGAAACAATAGGCAGAAATGGTCCTACAAATATCTAGACCCTGTACCTTGAAAGGCTTTATAGATGACCAATAGGACCTTGAATTTACTTGAAAGCTCACTGGTAACTAATGCAGTTCACCAAGTAGCAGCATGACATGGATATTCAATGGTGCACCCATACCAGTTTGCCCCACTGTGCTTTGGACCATTCTAAAGGGCTTGCAGAGCAGCCTCAGTGTATTGCAGTAATCCAATCATCAACTGATTAAAGCATGTCTATTCCATAAGAATATTCTCATCTAAGAATGGCACAACTGGCACACAAGACAAATTTGGAAAATCCCTCCTAGACTATTTGCTGTTAAGCACAAGCTGTGAGTCAAGTGATTTCTACCGATGTACTGTAAATTTTAAATATAATTGATTACATTTGATAATTTGTCATATATTTAAAAAGGCTTTTTTCTCCAAAATGTGAGTCATGTCATTTATATAAATTAAGCTATGTATCCATAAAGAGTCTTTAGCATATTTCAAAAGGATTTTATATTTAATAGGGGAGAAAACTTTCCAAGGGGAGAGAACATTTAGTCTATATCTACCTCAGTAAACTTTAGAAAAAGCAATTGGCCACATCTTCTCAATCACAACTTTTCAGTTGTTTTAGAACGTTTAATGTTTATATTTTGTTTTATTTTGCTTCCATTTGGCTGCCTTTCCTGATACTAATGAATGAAAAATTATAGTATCCACAATAAACAAGTTTTTAAAAAGTGGATATAAAGGGAAATCATATAAAGTACAGATAGATGCAGCTTTTAGACATTTAGGCAGATTATGTGTGTCACAATATTGAATACTAAAAATTAGATCTATGTCATTTGCATCTAGACAAAACTGGTGGTTTGAAAATGCTGAGAAATAGGAATGGCTTAATATATAAGCAATTTTATCACATTTTAATAAATTACCAGCAATAACTATATTATTTTATCCTGGCCATTATTCATTCTTCACTGCAAATATTGTAGACTATATTAATAAAATGTAAAAACCAATTTGTCTTCCTTGTTCCAGTTTTTAGTAATTCATGAAATAATTAAAATAATTTTTACAATAATCAATTTAAGTTGTTTCGTTCTGGGCCAGAAAATGAAGATTTGGAACTACTGTAAAACAATTCATATGCTTCAATTGATGAGTTTTGGTAAGTATTCCCATCTTAGCAACCCAATTCAAATCAACAGCAATAAGTGAAAATAGATTCATGTATTTGCTTATCTAAAAACAATAAGCATGAGGTATAATTAGAGAAAAGATGTGCTACTGCAACATTAAAAAACATACTAAGTTCAGTCAAGGTCTAAGTAGAAATCTTCAGACTGTTATCAACAGAAGAGTCTGGGAAATTAAATGCAATCATAGCTGTCTATTGCTACAGACCTTGAGGCAAATTTCCTAAACAGATTAGAAGAAAGTGGACTGCAGGCAAACTGAATTAATTCACAGCATCCATCTTCACTGAAAAAATAGGATATTAATATCCAAACAGCATTGCTGAGCAATTTGACTGTTTCATAACTTTTAATATATTATTTGTCTGGACCTTCTGAGAAAACTTCTCATGGAGGTAAGAGAATGTCCTTTTCATACAC